AAAATTTACCGGTGCTCCCAAGTAGCGCCTAAGGCCATTCCATGGTAGCTGCGAACATGAACATCTCGGAATATGCAGTTCTGATATATAATTTCCAAACGGGAATAACAAATCGGTCGATTGTAGTCAAGAGACATTGTTTTAAAGTTAAAGTAATGTCAGCCTTGAGAGGGAGTTATAATACATCATAAAGAGTATGTTATTTACGATTTCATCACTTTAGACCCGATTTCAGCCTCGACAATCATTGAATATACTAAAATCGCATATGCTTCCAATATATTCATTTCAACCAAATTCATGACCCCATACCAAAATATTGTGTCATCTTTGAATTAAATCTCCATGAGTATGCCCGTCCTAGGAAAAAAAGTTTCTTCCTTAAAAGACTTGCAGGTGCTTTTTTAATGTATCTTTGAAAAATAGATCGTAAGAATCCGCCGAGGCCTTCTTCTTCTTGCCCTCTAATAAGTAAACTGCTATAGTTTTCACTCACTACTCAGACAATGATCTCTACAAATATATGATGTTGTCATTTTGCCATGTACACATTAATAATAATAAATAACAATAGCCTAATAGTCCACTCCAAATTTTATTAAACCGAAACGGAAATTCTTTTTGCCCAATTGATCGTGAGCCCGGCAGCCACTGAGCAGCGCCAGAGGAAATAGCATGGAAGTGAATTCATTGGCGTTATAACTAATACTGATCCGTTCTATGTGAAGAGATTTGCTTTTAATTTGGAAGAATAAAATTGAGGATAATACGCACAGCTATCCAACCCCACCCTCACACAAATCCATCCCACCCACGCACTTACGCACCACTTGAAGGAAAGTTCCCGTATTATGTTTCGACGTGGTACTTGTATGTTTGTAACCTATTAACATGCTCTTCAAGAATCTGTTTTCCAATGGCAAGGATCTTTGTTGATATTTACACACCCACACGCTCACGCACACACACGCACACACACACTTTTGCACACTAACACATACACACGCACTCACGCACACACACACACAACCCACACTATGTACAAAATAATAATTAAAATAATTGAAATAAAAGTCTTTAAGAGTTCACTTTTTCACTATTACCGTTTTCAATTTTGCAATTATGTTGCCAATTAAAGTTGTTGCATGGGAATGAAATCGTTTTCTTTTTTTGTCAATGGATTAGATTTTTTCTCAAAAGAAATGAAACATTATAGCATAATGCACTTCGGTCAGATCAGTTTCAGGATAACCTGTCACGCCTGTTCTAATCATAATGATGAAACAAATTCTCTAACAAGACTGCTTCGGGTTTCATTAAGGTCTGTATCGAATCCCCAGATTGTTATCGTTTGACCTACATATTCATCCGTTAGCAAGCGTATCTCAAGCTTATGTAGGGGCAGGCGTATGTCCATTTCACTTATCCGCTTGCAGATTTGTGTTTAATGTGAACACGAGGAGTGACTGAATATGGTCAAATAATGGGAAAGTCCAGGTTATTTGCGAGTTAACAAAAATTGACAACAAATCGTTTACCTCATAATAAGTTTTCCCTAAATTAAAGGAGATTTCGTGGTATAGTGGTTCATTCACTTGGTTCTCAGTCCACGGATTGAGGGTTCGAATCCCAGCCCGGAATGAACATCTTTTTGGCAATACTTTTATCCACTTTTGCCTCTCTTCACCCAGGTGTATATGGGTATCCGGTATGCATCAAAAGCGCTACATTATTGCCCGACAGCTATGAGCGAAATGATAATGCCGGAGCACCAATTCAGAGTATCATACATAAAGGATATCCTTATCATCATTTACAGTGGGGCTAATAAATTGATGCAATCTAAATAATAAATAATCCTATATCTTAGGTGGAGGGTTATTGTGGGACAAAATAGCTTGGCCTTGCTCAAGTACAAGGTATACGAGCAATGAGGTAGAGAAAGACGAGCATGCTGTCAGCTTCGGCTATACTCAAAACTCAATTCAGTTCTCCCCTCTTCAAAGCAAAGTTAAACAATAGTTTACTTCTAAAGGTAATAAAGTTGACTAGCAAATCTCTGTTGCTCAACATAATGATGTCAAATGTTTAACTTTTACATCGACTTACCTACTGATTTGGGTAATGTAATTTAGGCTGGTTTCTATTTATATTGCACAATTATTGGTACGAAATAGGATTTAAATCATTTCTATAGCCTCTCAATCACACTTTGACAGACAAAACTTGTTCCACAAAGCCAACTCAGGCATCAGATTAAGTTTTCATATTTCTTTAAATTTCATTATATTACAATACGGGATAACAGAGGATGATAATAATATTTTTTTTAATATAAATAACAATGAGAAAAAAGGGAGTGTTCACTCCCCCCCCCCTCGTTTATTCAACGGCTGGCTGATACGGCGCTAAATGAATGTCACGATTTTTATTTTAAAAATTGCCAGGGGAGGGGGGGGGGTGCATTTTCATTTTTAATTTTAAAAAAGGTAGAATTATTGTTACCATCTTTTTTTTCACCTGTTTTTCCCCCATTTGTAAACACCTGAAGCACAGATAAAGGGTGTCTTTAAAATTCTAAAACACCCCCTTTTGCCGGGGGGGGGTGTTTGAACATCTAAAACACCCCCTTGTTTGCCAAGGGGGTGTGTGAAAACCCAAAACAACCCCTCCCCTCGATACGCCAATGTATGTTTGTCATGTACTTTTTTCAGAAATGAGATGAGTAAAGTTAATGAACTGAACTGATTAGAGATGGCGCACTTTAATAGAATGTCTTCGTTGAGGATTGAGTTTGATATGACAAAAATGACAGTGGCTAGTCCCGTTTCTGTTTTCACGACTTCAAAATAAACTACTATTAAGCATTAACCAAATCATGCGGTATCTGTAGCATTTTTTTTAATTCAGCTATCCGTTGTGGTTTAACATGTTTAACATTATTTGTATTCTTCATAAAACGATAAAAGACCACGAATTTGTAGTTCTATACTTGCAGCAAAAATCATAATATCATTAAACAGAAATATCGTATAAAACACATGAAATTAAAGATTACAAGTAAATAAAACCTAACCAGAATATTCCATCATCTAGGCAACTTAGGAATAAAACACACACTCAAGGAGAAAACAAAATTGCTAGAAGACAGTTATAAATTTCAATATAAAATCCATAAAGAGTCTTGTCCACTTAAAAGTAAAATTGTGCATTGTTGAACTGAAATGTTGGCATTATTATAACCATAACTTTATACACAACAAATAATCCTAATATTTTCTCTCCATCCTTATTTTTTCAGTTTTACCGTTGAAGAAACGAAATAAACAAATCTTTTCAGGAATGAAAGCAGAACCAAAATTATCCCCCAAAATGATTGTGCAAATCAACAAAGCACTCCACCTCCACCTCCACTTTACCGAAAGACAACAAGGCGATGAAAATTATCAGATTATAAACACATGAAAAGTTATTTTAAGGTAATTTTAGCAAAACGAAATATTAGAAATAAAAATGCAACGAAAGAAAGAAGCGAGGTATCATTGTTTAGAAGCTGATTCGATCTTCTTACATTTAAAAATTAACTTGACTTCTAATCAAGCGGCGAAGTATAAATTTATATTGAGATTGTATTTAAATCCTATAAGTTTTTAAAGGAATTGACTCAGTCTCGCTGAGAAATTACGTTCCCTTTACACAGAAATGTGTATGTGGGACTACAAAAACATGTAGCATTGAATTTTGGTACACAAACTTTTAGCTCTCTCTCGTTATATTTCGAATAAGGATAGCATTTGCATTCCACTGGACATATTTATCTGTGATATCTTTTGTACACTAACATAAAATCATAAAAAGAATGAAAAAGCTCACCAATTAATGTTCCCTTTCCCAAAATCCAACTTTCTCTTTAATGAAGGGAGTGGGTGTCTACATAAGATCAAAGTCTTGATAAAAATTCATAATCGCTATGTTCGCAAGTGGTCTAGCGTTGAACTAGACATTTAAGGAGGCATGAAAGAAAGGGCGGCGACCCCGATCCTACTAGGTCAATGAATTGCGAATTAACAGGTTTCTTCATATAGTTGGAGTATGTTAAAAGACGTCCTTTGGTCTTCCTTTCTCGTAGCCATTCTCGTGCCTCCATTTCTGTTTTTTTATGCTCGCCATTCGATGGGGGCGGGGGGCACCCCACCCCTCCCATAGCTACATCACTGATGCCCGCGTTTTCATTGTCAGCCCACATTTTATTCATTATGGCAATTATTTTATTTTTTTATATATATTTTTAATTTTGAGAGGGGAGGGGGGGGGGGTTCTCTTCAACTTTACACTGTAAAATGCTGAGATGATTTTGTGCGTTTAAACTACAATGTGTGGGGAATCTTTAACGAACCGGTAGACAGAGCCATTACTACATTATAACACATCAACAAATGAAAAAGAAAAAGGTTTCACAATGTTTACATCGAATAGCCCAGTACAGTAATGTTAACACTACCAATTAGAGACAAAAACAATATCCACTTTCATGTTATATTCGAAAAGAATCTTTGGAATAATCAAACAAGTTATTGAATTTCAAATGAAGAAATTAACGTTGCTTTGAAACTGATACAATGATAATATATTCTGCTATTTCTTCTAGTTTCAATCATCACACTGTGATATTAGACCAAATCCTCTTAAAATGTAATTCAATTACAAAAATGGTATTTTACCAGAATTCATCAATATCACTCAACTGTATATATTTTTTTTACAAAATCGTGTTAAATCACTAGAAACATTAGAAAATATCATGTACACACGAATACAATCAACAATGATTTTTGAATTCTTTGTCATTCAAGTTCTCCCAAATTTCGAAGGGGATGTTTCGTCATCCAGGGCAGCGTTTCACAAAACCGTCATTAGTGCAAGTTCACCGACATCCCATTTGAAACTCATGTTAAACTTAATACACGAATTTCAATGGGATGTCGGTGAACTTGTACTTATGACGGTTTTGTGAGACGCTCCCCTGGCGATATATATTTCAGTCTCAAGAGAGTTTCTTGATTGCAAATCATCATGTCTGAACTTTGACCCCGGAGATCAGGAACAATACCGTGAAATCTCTGCACGCAATGTATACTGTGATAAGGGCAGACGTGAGGCCACAGTCGGCTTTAATAGAAGCCGGTTGGATGTGAACATGAACAAATATGTTGTGACGTAAATATGTTTTATTGATCGTTTCTAGGCTGCTGTCCTGAGCATACAAGTCTGGAACCATTAGGCGTTTCGACATTTTGTTGGGTCTATTCCAACTGTTATTAGTCAGAGTACGAAGTTTGAGGATGCAATCTACCACGACACGAAACGCTGAACCAAGGAACCCCTTTCTAAAAAGTGTTTGTGCAGTCTCCGTTATCTCCTTTGCCTGTGTTTCCTTCCTCGCGCTCTTGGTATACCTTCATTCAATAGTGTCAATTCACTTTGCGGCATCGTAGAGTCACGTGGACATCGTGGATTCGCCTGTTTCAGCCATTTCCGGCGCGTTCGGCGTCGTTTGCTCGTCCGTCTGCAGCCAAACGATACTCCCGTACACCTCGTTGAGCAGCGGGCTAGGCTCGGCTGGCAGGTGACCGTTGCATCGCATCTTGATCTGCTCCAACCGCGCTAGATGGTCAGGTACCAAGGTGCGAAGGGCCACAGCCACGTCCATTAGCTTGGCGTAGAGGTTGCTCCGGTCCGGGTGGTTCTTCTTCACCTCAAGGTACAGAGTTTGTGCTAGGTGCTCCTGGTGCCGCTCAACAACCTCTCGGTCTACAAGACCTTCCCGATCTGTAAAAAAAAAATGCCACTCTGTTTATTAGAAAATATTAACTCGTTGAGACATATTTTGACAGGACGTCACTATATTAGAAAATACTGTTTTTTAAAGCCCGTCTACACTAGTTTAGCTAGGAGGATTAGACATCCCTGCAAGGTCACTGACAGGTGCTTTTCTCATCAAATCAGCTCTCAACTAACATAAGAAAAGGGGGATCGTGGGGGACCAACAGGCACCGATTAGGCATCGTTTGCTATATAGAAGGCGCAAGTAGCTATAAGTAGTGCAGTGGGACTTTAAGGCAACATACATTACTTATTTCTCATGTATCATTTAGAAACATGCGCTCTCATGAACACGGGAAATTTCTATGTTTGTACAAAAGCTGTGGGAGCGTTCCTCATGCATGAAATGGCACGTGTTGACTTAAAAAGATTCGTAACATTTTAATGTTTTCTCACAAATTTAATAAAAAAGTTAAATTACTCAGTTCGCAGGTTAAGAAAGTATGCGCCATAATGTTTCAGCCGAATTTGTTCCCCCTTTCCCCCATCTCAAAGAGAATCAGCGCCGCTGAATAAGAACACAAGAATTCGATTACCTGGCGAGTATAGGAGGAAGGTACAGAAAACAGCCTTCTCCTTGTCCGTCAAGCCCAGCTCGTTGAACATCTCATAAAACATCATCTCGGTCGTGTAAGTGGTCACCTTCCCGAACGGGGAATTCTCCGCCACGTCTCTTCGAATGTAGGTGTTGATCTCCGGGAACCTAAAACAAAAATGTAACATGCGATCAATTGTATTGACGTCATTTTATTCAGTGGCCTTTCTTCTCACATGAAGATGTAAGGTGGTTGTCCTGGAATTAGTGCGGACCTGGGGAGTGTTTCACAAAGATGAAGATCGACTTTAAGTTGGACTTAACTATGGCAGGTCGTTCATACCACTATAGTTCCTCTAACCATTCCTGAAATTGGTCTCTCAAGGGACGTTCAAAGCATGGTCACAAATCTTCATAATTTACCTTTTTTGATGGTTCATTGTTGAAGGGAAAAATATTATCTAAATATCATAATTGAGAAACCAATGATGAGAGCAACCAGTGGCATGAATAGCCTGCTATAGTTAAGTCTGACTTAAAGTCGATCTTAGTCTTTGTGAAACACTCCCCCTGTTGTTGAATGACGAAGATTAAAGCTGGATGTTCTTGCCACAGCAGGTTCAGGGTATGTGTAAGAAATATAGGTGGAGTCGTGTTATAGCGATTGTTATTTCCCCCATCGCTGCTCTCCTCTTTTAAACTTTTGATTTGTTTTGGAGGAAGAGGTGCCCATAAAGCCTAAAGCCCAAGTAACCCTAAAGTAACCGAATCGGAAGCATAACCCTTACGAAGTGTATCTTTGGCGAAATGCCGACGGAACAAACACTTTGGGGACATCGCTCAGCCCATTCCTGTACAGTTAACACGACCGCAACTATTTTCGAAAAACCAACCTATTAAATGCAATTGTAATGGCCTTGTATGTCACCTTCGGAAGTGTGCGAATATTACGTAAACCGGATGTGATTTCTATGGGACAGACAAGATTGCGATTTTCAGTTTCCCTTACAGGTTTATTGAATAAGATATTGTAAAAATGAATCTTCCCACCTTCGAAACATTGGAGCCCGTGAAAGTCTACCGACAGCCGGAATTTCATGAATTACATACCTGTAAACACCATGGTAGTACCTGCTGGCACTCAGTGTGGCGCACACCTCTAGGGCGGCACCCTTGAACAAGGTCAGCTGATCTGAAGAGGAGAGCCGTCTGAACTCGGGGAGCTGTTTGGCGAAGGTAGCGAATTTCTCGATGGTGACTTCCATGCTGACGAAGCACTGCTGGGCCATCTCGGCCCGGCTGGTGATCTCCTGAGGTGGACCGTCTTTGTTCAGCTGCATCCCCTCAATGACGTAGGTACCCGAAGGCATATGGGCTGTAAAAGGCTGATGGGGAAGAAACACGAGAACAAAGTATTAGTTTCTACGCAGCTGCATATATTTCACATTTACATACGTCTTCGAAACTAGACTGTAATAAAAGACCTAAATATTTTTATGTATTACGTTGATATCAAAATTTTGTTTCGTTTCGCATTCTAAATGTTCCAGGTGGATCGGAGCAAGAGACGACTCGGCGAGAGCTTATAATTTGTCCGTTGTGCCAACTTTCCATTCTTCGATGATTCCTCCATGAAAAATACCTTGTTTACTACAACAATCCCATTAAGTCATCGAGTCGTCTTTAATAACGTAGATGAGTTTTAAGACTTAGTCTATTAGTAGGATTTGAATTTCCATATTTTGCCTTACTCTCTCTCGTATTTGTTTCTTTCCTTCTATCTCTCTTTCTTGCTTTCTTTCTTTTATTGTGGGGTGAACTACATGTTTATGCCATGAAATGGTACTCAACCATCTGAAAGGGAGGCTGCTCATTTCATTACATTTATTTTACAACACATCATGTCAAAACTCCTTTATTCTATTTTCTCTCAGTTTCCAAATAGATACTTTTCCAAAGATGACAGACAGGGGCCCGTTTCATAAAACTTTTTATCTATAACAAATGCTTAATTTCTATGATAAATTTGCTCTCTGCCAATCAGATGCCTTGGTTTCAGTAGCTTATAACAGTAGCTTGTAACTTGTTATTGATATCAAGTCTTATGAAACAGGGCCCTGATCCATTGGCAGTAAAGTTACCCTTGAGCATCGCTTCCAGAATTTCTCCAAGTCCTCTTGCGTCATTGCACAGACTATGTCATTGAATTGCTGGGCGATGGAGTCGACGAAGACCCGATGCGTTCTCTCGTCCTCCGTCTCGTGGAGGACATTGTCCTTCTCGTCCAGCTCTGTCTTAAGTTTGAGGACTTCGACCTTCGGAACACGTCCCATTCGAACGGCTGATTGGCATTGGAAGTGAACGTAAACGTGAAAGAGTCATTTACATTTTTACAAATATAGGTTAGCTATCTTGGACTAGGCTATGAATGCTGCCCGGCACGATCACAATTATCATTAGACGTTATTAAAAAACAGCACGTGACTTACGTCAGAAATTTTAAAAGAGATCACGTGACATGAATTTATTGATGGATTTTGTTTCATGACGATAAAAAGATTATCATGTTTGAACTATGAAATATAAAAGCTATTCAAACTAAATTCGGAAAATGAATTAGGAAGTAGTGAATTTGTGATTTCCGTTATTGTCCTTTGAGAATGTGAGCTACGATCGAGGGACTCTCTTACGATTCCCTTACGATTCTCTTACGATTCCCTAGTGCCTGCATGGTAACCTACCTGTAGAGGACATGCCAAGTATAATGCACTTTTGGTATCTGCAGTACTGGCACTTGTTCCTTGTACCTATGTTGACGATGCAGCCGTCAGGTTGACCCCAGTATGGGCAAGGCTTATAATCAATCTTCAGTCGTTGGGTTCTTCTAAAGAATCCCTATGATATAATATAATCAGATATCAAGATAAGAAGCATCTGGTAATATACGGTATACGGTATACGTTTTCAATGGATCAATATTTGTAGTAGGTCAACGCGTTTAATTTATTTGAGGACGCAAGACTTGTAAGTACTTGGGTGTGGACAATTTGTGGTTTATAATTGACATTTTGAACTTTATCAAAGTTTATTTATTGCAGACAATTTTCTTTAGTTTCACAGACAAGATAGTATTATGCCTTGTTCGTCATTTAAAGTACTTAATAAATTGTATTACATTTATTTGGTTATGCTCAGTTTAGCAAACCGTACGTAGGTTGAAGCTTATCTTAGGATGTTTGTTATAAATGCGTCATCAAATATTTAACTGTTTGGATCATATGAAATAAACTTCGTATAGCATGTAATTAATTATTCAGAATCCGTCTCAATCCAAATCTAGGCTTTACATCAATGGCAAGTTACAGTGTATATTACAAGTTACTGATATATTCAATTCAATTCCTTTATATTCCATTGAAATTCAAAGTAAACAATACATAGAAAATGAACAGCAAAATCGGAAGGACCCCAAGATAAGCAAATCTTGTGAGAATGGGGCCGTGTACAAAAATAAACAAACATGGAAATTATAATTGAGAACAAATTTCAAAATGAAATGTTAAAGGTCTTTACCTTACACCCTTCGCACGAGTAGACACCATAATGCATACCAGAAGCTTTATCACCACAGATCTGACATCGGATAATATCTAATGATGGAATAGCAATAAATAAATCTGCACTGTTTCGAATGTGATATAATTGTAAATTACTTCCAAAAAAAATTAAATAAATGGGAAACCTATCCAGAAAATCATCATTAGTGATGGAAATATTATTCATTTCATTTCGTCTCTTGAATGATTATATCATCAAGGTAATTTTGTCCATTCAATGCCTGAGACAGTGTGATAGAAAAATGTCGTCGTTTTGAAAAAGAAAATCACATCTAGAAAGTTGCTTACGTTGGTAATTATCGACTAATTTCTGAAAAAATATAATATCTTCCTACGGATCTGAGCCTAACTTGAAGCTACACACATCTGTTCAAATATTCCTTGCAAAAATAGCTTGCAATATATTTACAAATAATAACATAATTACCTAATACCTAATTGAAAGCAAACATTCTGATACATTATCAAGATAATGTGATGATTACAGTACTCAACTTATGTTTCTTCGTATTAATACCATGATCACATAGTGACCTACTACATAAGGAAATGAAATAGAACGACAATCGCCTGATGAGTATGAGACCATATTGCAAGTAAACCTACTGATATAATTATGATTATCAAGATATGATGATTACAATACTAAACATGTGGTTTATATCTTGTAAGACCCTCTCCCTTATCGCAGTCACGGAGAGACCTACTTTTTTGAATTACCGAGGTACTAATTCAAAATTGAGGAAACGAAATCGAAGACTTGGAGAGTATCCATCAACATAATTTATATATGCTGCGGTTATCATGGTTACAGACATGAATTTCCTTGGACCTATTCGCCATTACCAATATTCATTATGGAATATTACAAATATCTAGGTCAACGCCATGTTATCAACATGAAATTTTGTATGTAGAATGAAAATTCGTTCCCATGCCTTTCTGTACATACACATACATGTATAGGCTTTCATTGACAGCATGTTTTGTGGAAAACTGAATGACAAAAGGATGATTTAAGGGTTCATGATCGGCTCTAACATATTATAACTGAGACGAAAAGTGTAACATTTGATTATGCATGTAACACAATAAGGTGAAATCCATATAAGAAGTGTCTTGAGGACGTCATACTTGTATCATTGGGATAGTAATTTAAAATTTATAGAACATAATTTTGAAATGAGTATAAAATAAATATATGTCTAAGGACAGATGCTCCGGGCAAAGATTTGATCCCTACACCTCTAGATTCAGGTCCAAGTGAATAGACCGCTAAACTTGTTATAACACTCTAAGTTCCAAGGTATTCGAGCCCTACACATATATATGTATAGTCAAATGAGTGAACCACTATACCATGGTCCTTCCCTTGGTATATCACTCAAAGGTTCAAGCAGGGATTCGAACCCCAAATCTCTCTATTTAGAGTCAAATGAATGAACCACTATACCACGATGCTCTTCTCCATAATATGACGACAAATATTAAGATTTCTCTAGCTATTACTGTGTTTATATTTCTCCCTCAACAAACGCTACGTGGTATTTCCCAGATTAACGGAATCCCTCACTTCAAACCCCCCCCCCCCCCCCCCACTCAGTGTTATTTAGGGTACGCATGTGGCGTGTTCCCAGCGACCCCCCCCCCCCCCCCCCTTTCAGCAAAAGTCCGGTGTGTAAAGTCAATACGGGTAGACCTTTTTCTTTTGTTACGAGCCGGAGAGTTTGGGAACACGCATGGTATCCCTCCGTTAACCCAGTTTGCAATCCTAACCTACACTAACCTACCACCAAACCTATACTAAAACCCAGTTGCAATCTTAACTCTAACGCTTTAATATTTATGAAATAAAGCCTATATCAATAATTGATAAAGATTTTGTACCTGAATACACGGGATCGTCTCCTTTATTTTTGTTTTTTCTAGGTTTTCTTCTGCATGCTGTCTTTGTTTCTTCACATGTGGAGCTGCATTTTACTTTCTTAGTAGGAGTCGACTCCTTCTTGAACTTGCATTTGACACTTCCCCTGAAAATGAACAAGAGGATATTTTCACTAAACACACTATATACTTACTGGGGGTGTTTCACAAAGACTAAGATCGACTTTAAGTTGGACTTAACTATGGTAGGCCGTTCATGCCACTGTTTGCTCTCACCATTTACTGGCATTGGCCTCTCAAGGGACGCACAAATCATGGTCATAAATCTACAGATTTTTTTAATTCTTTTTTATATTTCATTATTGAAGAAAAAAATATTATGTAAAGATCATAATGGCGAGAGCAAACAATGGCATGAACGGCCTGCCACAGTTAAGTCCAATTTAAAGTCGATCTTAGTCTTTGGAAAGAAGTATAAACGAATGGTGAGCATATCCGTGTATAATCACCCACAAGCTCTATTACGGTCATTAATTGGGGTTTTGTTAATGAAAGAAATCAATCAATAGATTGATTCATTTGAATTCAAAATGTAAATTTTGCTAAAAATTCATCATTCATGTCACATATAGAATGACTAAAAACGTTTAAAGTTCGGTTTATATTCACAATCCGTGACAATCTAATTTGTCAGATTTAGGATTGTTTATCTTCATATAAATTTTAACCCTTTGGAGTTCCGTTGCCTTAGATGAATTTATTACTCATAGATATTACTGCTCGTAGCTCTGTTCAAATTTATATTTTTGAGCGTTTCCTCTTTTTTCCCTCTTTTTCCCCTCTTTTTGTTAGGGGGTGGCATTATTTACCATTTCTACCGTGCTGTTTATAAAATGGTATGGATTCGGTAATAGGGTGATGATTAATTAATAATTTTGGGGCGTTTCCTCTTTTTCCCCTCTTTTTGTTAGGGGGTGGCAATATTTACCATTTCTACCGTGCTGGTAAGGCTTCGGTAATAGGGTCATGATTAATTAATTATTTTGAGGCGTTTCCTCTTTTTTCCTCTTTTTCCCCTCTTTTTGTAAGGAGGTGGCATTATCTACCATTTCTACCGTGCTGTTTATAATAAGGTATGGATTCGGTAATAGGGTCATGATTAATTAATAGGCCTATTGGTCGGTAATGACGGTGATCTTACCATTGCCATGGTTGCATTTGTATATTCCATTACCTTTGTACGAACTTTCGGCTTCTGTTTTTGATCAGAGTGGTTTACAAAGTAGGTTACCTATTTGCTCAGTAATTGACCTACTCTCTCTGTCTCTCTCTCTGTCTCTTTCTCTCCCTCTCCCTCTCCCTCTCTTTCTCTCCCTCCCCCCCCCCCTCTCTCTCTATCTCGCTTTCTACACGGTATCTCTCTGATGAACCTGGTAATATGATAAATGCATTATTTTGAAACGAAAATGAAACTTTCCTCAAATTATATGATTCTCGAAACAAGAATAACCACAATTTGTCAACGGCGATATATTAAAAAAAAAAAACGGAAATCAAAGTAATACACAGCAAAATCTGAATAAAGTCTGTCCCAGCATGGATACAAAATGCAAATTCAGAAACTTTGGTAGAATGCAAATCGGTAACACTAACGGCCTGTACCCTCCAATCCCCCCCCCCCTTAAAACCAATTTGGATTATCTCAAGTACACAAGTACACAAGACACTGTGCCCCAATATTGTGTGCCCCCCTTCAAGTGTTACACCTAAACTATCTTTGTTCGTTTTGTTTTCGTCTTTAGATTTTATCAGAATACCCCCCCCCCCACACACACACACACACACACACACCACTACATCCATGGACACGCCTTTGATGTATTTACCTGTTTGGTGATTCTGCTCTCGAGCTTGATACATTACACGTCTGCGACGAGATTGTGTCCTGCTCCGTCGTATTCGTCGTTGTCTTCGTCGTCGTCGTCGTCGTCGTCGACTCCCTGTCATTCACCATTTCTTTGCCGATCATTATCGAGTCGTCTGAACTCGACGAAGAAGCCTCCATGTCTTCGACATCATTGTCCACTTCGAATGGGTGATTTTCAGGCTTGACTTCTAAGAAATAGTCGTCGGTGGTTTCGACGGTGTCCATTTTGGATTTTCCTGTTGAATCCTGTTTACCTATCTGGAGCCCGTCATACCGTACCGTAATGGAGTCCATGGTAGAGCCGGATAAAATATCAGTTGTATTTGACCAAATTTCACAATGCCTCTGAAATCATTCCTTAGGTTTTACTTGAGTTATTGTAAAATAAGATCAATGGACCCTGAAAAATAAAAAAAGACATAAACAAAAGTGACAGCAATTTTCAGTCACAACCTGATGAAATATATTATTTAGAAAAAGAATAACATGAACATTATCACACATTTGTAGAGTTTCTATCAGCACTGGGGGTCGATTGAGCAACGAAATGAAGTGAATCCTGACGCACACATGCCGAAGACCATTAACACAAATGCGAAATGGCATAAATTTAGTATCGTCATGGTTGAAACTGAAAACGAAATCATGAGACAATATTATTGCTAATTAAACAATCAAGTTTTGTGATTTATCGCTACAGTACGTGTGTCTCATATTTATTTCATTTGTATAGATCCTGTTTATGAATACATTGTAGCATTTAAAGGTAAAGACCAGTATTGGAAACGCCCCAATTTCAAAAAATGAAATGGAAGCTCTCATTACCAATCATGTGAAAGAATATGTTTTGACTAATACATGATGATACAAAATTTGCCGGGAAACCGCCTACTAATTCATATATTTGGTAAATTTGTTTCTCTCATGGTCTGTGAGAGATATAGGGTAGTCCCATATACATCTTTCTGTGTATAGTGCTTGTAACTTTACGAAGAATGGGCCAAATTTCTTATCATTTTGATGATTCCAGAACCTTGCAGATGCTAGATGCTAGATGATCAACCTTTTCTGATCGATTCCACAACGTTTCTTTCACAATGCAATCGCATGACCATAACTGCTCTTTACCTTTACGAAGAATATTTATTCTTTGAACCAAATATATATCTGTGTTTGAATACTCGTTGTCCTCGACTTTTGAAGGTTGTAAAACAACCATTTCCATGAAACATTAATTTGTAAGGCCGAAAACTCGACTATTTTATATAGGCCTACAACAAAATATTGTGCCATCGGAATATGATAACACGTATGCACAGGATGTTTATCAAGTGGAGAATTCCTGAGTGGCATAACAAGGAGAGAGAGAGAGAGAGAGAGAGAGAGAGAGAGAGAGAGAGAGAGAGAGAGAGAGAGAGAGAGAGAACAAAAACAGAGAGAGAGGGAGAGAGAGAGAGAGAGAGAGAGAGAAAGAGAGAGAGTAAGGGATGAGGAGGGGAGGGTGTAAAATCAACGTTTGATTCATATGCAGCTTCCTTATTTGGGGAGAATGTTAATAGGTATCCACACATGTACGTGTCGTTCCGTATCAGACCTTTTTTCTGCAGTAACTGCTTTAATATCGATTACCAAGTCTGGCATAGGTTTCATAATGCCAATTGAGCAACCAATTAGGCCTATTAACAAATTGCAGAACAGTGGCTACTCCTTTCCCTGCATATCGCACTCCCAAAGAACAAGGCAGGGAGAAGGCTGGGAAATCCCCATTGATATCTAGGTCGACCTTGTACCTTTGAGCTGAAGGTAACTTTCAGCTCAATGGTACGAGATTGGAATGGTACGTGACTGACGTAGAAAAGCCGAGATATCTTCTTGAAAATATATAATGTCAATATTTGTTTTCGACGGATATTTGCAGTAGTCACTGTTATAAAACAGGAGTGCAGGAATTATAATGCACAACCCCCTACACACCCTTCACAAGGTCTAGTTGTATTTTGCGAGTCTCAAGATGCTTATATCAGCTATTTTGTAGTATGCATTTGTATGTACCCGTAATCTATTTGTACTACTGTCTATGTTGATCAGGAATTAAATACTTCCACAATGGGAGCACTGAAGTCTTAATTGCATTCATGAAGAGTGCCAGGAAGCCCCCTCCCCCCCCCTTTTTTTTCCTAATTGGGTCAAGTTTATCATTTTAACTGTCTAGGGGATGGATTGCCCTTTTAGCACCAATCATCCCTCCCCCTTCCTTGTTTCCTTGGGGAAAATTCTATAACTGTGACTGTAAAAGGGGAAATGCCCTCAAGTCCCCCCCCCCCCCCTCTCCCCTAAAAATGATGGATCCGCCACTGTTTGAACAGACTGGTACAATAGCTGCAAAGTCCTAGTAGAATAAATATCGTGAACTACATATCATTTCAAAGTCAGAGTCCTTAAAAAATTGTGATATGGTATAGATGTATTTTTGTAAAGGTGTAATTTGTAGTTTAAACACTAAATAGCATCAAAATAATCGCTGCCAAGTAACGATCTTTTCCATTTAGAAAATTAAACTAGTAATTATTTACTTTTGAAGTATACACATGAAACCCAACCCACACAGCTTGGTTTGGGAAGGAAATGCGACAGACGCAGATTTCTGTGTTTAAAACAAATTAAATGGTAATTATTCTTAATACGAATATCCAAGCATGTCAGGGGAAAATGTATTTTATTTTCAACTAGTTTTGTATTATAATCAATACCAGCAAGCTACCCGGGCCGGGCCCATAAACTAACAGTCAATAAACTTAATATGCCCTGTGTATATAGTTAGTCGACTATCTTTACATAAAATTAGTAAGGTTTTATTAATAAGGCCCCATAAAACCAAGGCCTAATAACAAAAATAACGTGTTTCTCGTCCGGACTTTTAAAAAAAAGGAGGAGGCAGAGCATCGCTTTTTACTATTTTGCTAACAAATAATTTGTTTCACTTTAGAAGCTATTTAAAAGAAATGTATAAATTATATCACAGCTTTTTTCTTTTTTTTTTTTTTTTGGGGGGGGGGGCTTTAGACTTTTCTTTTCTGAATAGTAAATAGTTTTTTAAAAAGGGAGGCGGTGACCAAAAAGAAGATGGGCGGGGACGAGAAACACTTCATTTGCGTAATTTGGCCTAATGATGCAGGTGGAGATAGGCATATTCAGCCGAGGAATTAATTAGTATATAGCGTGATACATGACGAAGAGATCATGCCTGGCTGGTTTCAGATTTCACATTCGGTACTACCAAGTCTTGCTCTCGTCATTTTTTCTCTGCACGCTATGTACAATACCGCGTTTCTTTTGTAAAATGTGTCATGTGGCATACAGTATACGCATGTAAAAGAGTTCGGGGCATGTTTACACCTGACCTTGAACACAAACGCTATTCATATGTGCTTTTCTCAAACATTGTGGACGCCGCGGCGTGCTCCAAGATTGTATGGTGGTATTGAGTTGTGTTATTAAAGGTATAGTATTCCTTTCACAGTCCAAAATATAGAATTGTATGACTTCATGCAATGGTATACGTCACGAGAATGATAAAGGTCAAGGTATCCTCTCTGAACAGGGAATTGAATCTGACTTTTCGTTAAAATTATCGACTGTTCGATTTCGAATGGGAAATTTGACAGGTCACAAATATATTAATTTCGCTGTAACACTGTGTATAAGGCACCAGTGTTAACAAATGGAATATTTAACAAAATTAACATAACGAATTCAATCTTACCACTTTTTTTAAATTTCTTTGCTGGAAAGCGGAACTGACTGATCTTGTTTAAATGTAATTAAATACTCTTGTTTGAAGTCACATGAGTATCTTTAGTACCTTTAGTTTTCCCGAGTGTACTACGCGTAAAAATAAGAACTTGTTGTATTGCCCTTTGCGACCGGCCCAAAAATCTGAAAATCTACGGTCGGCATTTAAAAAAAGTATTTTTTAGATTTTTTTTAAATAAATGAATAAAAAAAATATGTATTTTGTTTGTTTAAATGGGATATAAATGCATAAAATCAAATTATTCCAAAATTCTCACTCGTGCAAACCATGGATAATTATGAGGTGAAAAAGATATCAATGGAATGATGACGTTGAAACACATGTATTAAAGCATTAAAAACTGAGAAATATCAGCCAAAAGAGGGCGGGAAAAAAAGAAAAACAACAACAACATTCGAATCTGAAAAATATCGGCCCAAAGAGGGCGACCAAAAAAAAAGTAAAAAAAAAACAAAACTTTTCCGACCGACCGACCCATGTTTTGGCACCCAAAGGGCAATACAACAAGTTTTTATTTTAGGCCTAACTGCTGTTGACCTGTTGTTGACCTGTTGTTCCTGGTTGACCTAACCTGCCTATAGTGGCCTTAAAATTGTTATGTCGGTATTCCGTTAACTAATACATAGCTGTTGATATGGGAGGCACACCTCAGAAAAATTATCGGGTAGCTGACAGTAGCCTATAGGGATATATCTATAGGTGTAGGGATAGCTATGTCCATTTATATTATGTTTCAGGATCTTACATTGCCAGAATACAGCCCATCGCACATTATGATCTGACTATATACGATCCGATTTTGGAAGAATTTACAATACAATTTGATAAGAACATTCAAACTTAAGTAATAATCTTAATGACCGGAGGGCCGAATGGTCATAAGATCGAGCAAACAATATATGTTATGGTATTTTATGCTTATTTGCCATTAGAGGAGGAAAGCTAAATCAGCTCATAATCATAGTGACGTCACAGGTCCGGTCGGGTTCAGGGTGTCATATATACCCGGATAATGAGTTTTTGTTTCTTTCCTGGTGCTTAACCTTCAACTTACGAAGTGCGCCCGTGTTACACACACGCACGCTATTAAACATTAGGATACATTCCTTTTGATCTATTTTCTCGTCATTCGATATACTCTATCTCCAACGTACAACATAACCGCAGACGTAAACGTGTAACCAATCCTTAACACACGTATACTGAAATCTCAAAATTGATATCTAGGCCTACCTAAGTCAACAAGTTATTCATAAGTCACATCGACTTATAAATTGCTCAATTTGTTGCCTTCCTCATGGCCAGTGACAAAGTTACGGTGGGCATGGGGGCAAGTCCCCCCCCCCCCCCTACCATCACCACCATAAACTGACGGGAAAATGGGGAAGGAAAGAAGAGAAAAGGCTAGAGAGGATTATATTTCATGTGTGTATTGTATACAAGCACAGGGGTTGGGGAGCCTGTACTTCACTATAGGACCGTGCATAAATAAATAAAAAATCATACAACATTACGAAAGCATATTATATGAAAATATAAAAATAATAACAAACTATGTAGAATAAAACAGTTGATAGGGGAAATACATAAAAGTTTACAACCCCGAAACACGCGATATGCTTCACTCGTCAATGTCTCTTTGATTCCGTATACTTATTTAGGATACGTTTGAAATTCGCAAGGTGGGAAAGAACAGAACTTCAATTAGCGATATCAAAAGGAAATATTTCCCCGAAGTTATTGAAAGGCCTACATAATGACACAAAAACTAGTTTGATTAATACAGTGAGCCTACATTAATGAATCAATAATGCTGATGCCTACTTAAAATTTTAAAAAGGTATTACTTTATAGCTATCAACTTGATCTTGGTATGCATTTTCATCAGCTTTTAAAATAAATTGATCCCTTTTCACTTGAATCGAAGAAGAAAAAAAAGACAACTTGTTATTGAATAAAACTGTATCGGGCTGACATATCACAACGCAGTGGAACACTGCATGGGCATGTGGTGCCATCTTTATTTGCCACATGTAAACATTGTACAGATAATGCGCAAACATTAATGCAGTTGCAATCGGGAACAACGTCACGGGGGCAATGTTTTGATAAAAACTGCTCAGTCTGAATACATGGGAAAGCTATAGTCCTAGTATGTACAGAGAACCGTCTGTAATTAGATTGAGTGATAGTTCCGCCCATTATTGGTGGCGAATGTTAACCAAGTGTTGTGAGATGGTTGGTAATAGTCTCGATCATAATAACAATGATAATCACCGTAATAATGTCATAACCCGGAAGAGAGAAAAAATTATACTTACGTGTAGAACGCAGTCCCGTACCAATAGATCTGTAGAGTAGCCTACGAGAATTAAAACGTTGATACAATCATCATGTTGCAGATAATAGTAAAGCCTGTATGAATTTTACCAGCAGCGAATATTATGAGTTCATCTAAAAGCTAGTCAAAACATGTTCATGGTATACTCGTGAAGCCTTAACGTTGACCGCTGTAGAAGTTGGCATGGTTGATGGTATCGTTTGCGTAATTAAACTCAGCGGTAGAAAAGCGAGTTCTTGCTCATTAGTGAGAATGTAATACAACCGCGTGTCATATTTTAGTACCTTTATGAGCAGTAATATGATTCGCCTTGGTTACTGCTCTCGTGTTGTCGTAAAAGCACATTCATTACGATGACACGGTTCAAATCCTTTGGTTTCTGCCACATACATACGCATCGGTAGGAAGCACGGCAGTGGTAGTAAATGAAGAACTATTTTTAGATCAGCTACACCGATGTCGCCTTCTTCGTATAGCTCGGTTATTAATAACAGTTATATAGATGTACTAATATTGCTTGTGATGATCTTTTATAGACCAACGCTAGCAGATGGTAAAATATAGGTCCACACGGGGTGTGTATATCAAAAGAAAGCAATATGTGATTGCGTTTGGATAATGCAAGGTGAACTTGAAGAATAAAAGCGAGTGAGAGAGCGAGTGAGACTGGGAGAGCTAGAATTTACGCGACCTGGTTTCAGCAAAACACTAGCGGTACGATTTAGGACTCTGTGACGAGCACAAAATTATTGAGCAAATATCAGACAAATAATGCAAACAGAGGAACAATCGCATAATCATGACTGTGCGGATATCGAGCAACGTACAGCAAAAAATATGAAATGGTTTGGAGTGAAAAAGGGCTAAAAAATATCTGATAGAAAGAAACCAGAAATTGTAACAGTGATGTAGATAGGTATATGAAAAAGAGAAAGGGGCGCACAGAGCTATATAAAAGCCTGAATAAATACGAGAGAGGGTGGGTGGGAAGAAAGAGAGACAGGGACAGGTATAGAAAGATAAACATAAACACACGTATAGAGAACCATATTGTGTTAATGAATTGAATTGGAGAGAGAGAGAGATAGAAGAAGAGATCGGAAATGAGATATAGAGTAAGAGTAAGCTTGTGTTTGTGTGTGTGTGAGAGAGAGAGAGAGATATATATATATATAGAGAGAGAGAGAGAGAGAGAGAGGGAGAGAGAGAGGGGGAGGCAGGGAAACAGAGAGATAGAGACAAACATACACACATAGGCAGAGACAGATAGACAAGGACAGAGGCAGACACAGACAGACAGACAGACAAAGTTAACATACACAGACGAGGAATGGAAGAAATGACTTATGGAATTGAATTGAAGAGAGAGAGAGGAGGGAGATTAAAATGGAGATAGGGGTACTAGTAAGTTTGGTGAGTGCGTGCTTGAAAGAAGGAAAAAGAGGAATATAGAGACAGGGAGAGAGACACAGAGAGGCAAAGAGAGGCAGAAAGAGATGAATGAATTAATGGGTTATTGTGTTGGCCTTATCGTATTGACACAAAGCAAGCTTAACAAGTTCAAAGTGCATTATATTTTCAGATGCGACCCGAGTGTGAATGATCACTGAAAGACACAGTGATGATACAGCGAAAATGAACAGACAAACAGATATGTATTAGTGTCGCTATTACTACTGGAATACCGATGGGGTGCTTTCGGGGCTGCACACCCCTCCCTCGTAAAAACACAAGAGAGAAAGAAAATGACATGAGGAAAGAAAGCAAATATAGAACTTCTAGTAACGTGCGATTGTAGATCTATAAAAAGAAATAAACGTTGTGTGAATGAAAACAAATCACTAGCGCCCTCTGTTTATCTGATGAAGTACAGTATCTTTTCTGTTCAGTGCAACTTCTTTTCCTATTAATTACAATCGTTATATTCATTTCAAATCATATCAATTCATGTTTTGTCAAAATGTGTTTTATAACCTGATCACTAAATTGGACTAGTTTACTATTTCATTTTTTTAAAATCCTCTTTAATGGCAAAAAACGACATTTTTGCACAAAATAGTGTACATATTGTGGCATAACCGGGCTCTGCCGGGTAGCGTTCTGCCTTGCAGTCTCTCAAAACCCGGTCCACGCTCTCGACAATCATTCATCAACTATATCTCTCAGTGGGCTCTCACAAAAATATATCGTGTAAGAATAAAGTGAACTAGCTCTCATTCACTTACTCCCGCAATCACTGAATGCCTGACAGGAACTCAAGAAATAACACTTGCACAGTATATCTCAAGTCAAGTAACTTTACTCGTTTCTGGTAACGGACCTTTCGCAACGACAGGTCAACGCTGACTGACCGACATCTCACGATGTCTACATATATATTTTACAATTAACTATAAGGCTCCCTATGTCTTACTAAATTACTAGACTAGTTATGCTACAATATGAAAAAGTCAATTGATTAAAAAATTAGATTTTTAAAACTACATAATTATAAGGTCCTGGAAAACCAACTTTGTCGGTAAAATTAAATAATTTGTACATCCTCTTCAAGCTCATTTCCTCTTCTTTCATACGACACCGTATTGTCCCCGAAATTTGAAAATTTGGCCGATCGATATTTCGTTCCGTTGGGGGGGGGGGGATAAGGTCACCCTTTTTTTTTGGTCACCCATTAGCACAACTTTGTTTAACTTTTTTTTTAATTTAAAACAAAATGTAGGGGGGGGGGGTCCTCAAAACCACACCCAGGCAAAATTGAGGGGTTCGACCACCCCCCCCCCCCCCCCCCCTTTGCGTACGCGCCTGCGTGCATGATTATGTCGAAGTTTGAAGTTTTCGCATGGTAATGATGACGATATCTTGTTCCACTGCCTCGTCGCCCTCTCCCACACCGTCTGGTCTACTGTAGTAGATCCCTCTGCCGTCGGAAAGGCGCTCCCATTGCCCGCTGGTCACCCACCCCTCCAAGACCGCCTTCACGTTGAAGTTTTCTCGTTCCATTTCAAGTCGCGATCTACGGATAAACATCATAAGGTACCCACCTGTTTAAGGAGAAGAAAAGGCACGTGCATTTTTTTGGTGGAATAAGAAGTCAACATTCATGAAATTCTGGCTTGTGTGGAAACAGAATAACTAAAGAAAATAGTTCAGAAACCGAAGACAGAAATATTTTTCGAAGAATCGATTATTATTTATCTAGGAAAGAAAGATATGATATAATAAATTGGATACTGAGTCGTTACCAACAATTTTAAAGCATTCCACGACTTCTAAAGCGTTCAATCACCTAATGGAAAGTATTGTGACACACTTACTAAGTAGTGTGACGATATTTTTCCACGCATGTCTTCTCCGTGGCTCCGTCCCTATTGGCTATGCAGTATCTGTCTTTAAATACAACATGACGGCATTTCTCAATTTATAAGATGGGGCAGACATTTTCAATAGCAAAAGAACATGTAAGTTTCCCATAATGACAAGCAATAGACTGCTCTATCATTATCTGACCAATAGCGGATTCTCCTAACTTCCGAACTTTCAAAAGTTCTTACCTTCCTTACAATGCCTGGTTCTTTTTCAAACTTTACTTAAGTTTCTTAATAATTTTCCCGTTTCTACAGGCTAAGCCAACTATCTATGAAAGGAGTATGACTAAACGGATACAAAAAAGTTCAACTGGAAAATGTACAATAGTAAGCTGAACGATATGAAAATGCATTCACAAAAGCATTGGTCAACATAAATATTAATAATCATCTTGATAATAGTAATTGGTGGGCAAACTTCACTCAATTAATATTTTTTAAATAAAAAATGATGACATTTTATCCGTGAAGAGAATTTTCAGCCACCTTGTCGGCAAATTCGCCCCTCCCCACGACACCCCTTGTATTTATTTCAGCATTTATTGCATACGTGATCGTACAAATGGTTTTTAGTGGATGCGTCATGGTATAGTGGTTCATTCATTTAAATCTCTATCTAACGGTTGATCGTTCGAATCCCAGCCCGGCACTAACGTCATTTGGCAAGACTCTCCACCCAGATGTAAACGGGGAACCTGGCAATAGCTGAGGTAATGGTAATTACAAGGCCTGTAGAATGAGCAGTAATGGTATTGATGTGGCTATCCCAAGTAAATAAGTCGACCAAATTATTATCATTTATTAAAGGTACTGTGTCCCATTTGCAGGCCAAACAAATGAAAAGGTTAATTTAGAACTTCCCTCAAAACAAAAGGGCTTGAAAATGGCTCTTTGCGGGAAAATAACGACCGTACGTTGTCGAATCGAATTTAGCGATCGCGCTCGTTTAACTAAATATTCGTATATTTGGTGCTGCGCAAAGATTCAATCAGTTTAATTTTGGCCATTATAAGAAGTGGGTTATTAATGTAGACACACTTTTATGTACCCTTTACAACTCATTTTATGTATGTTATTACAAACGAAGAAGAAAAAATCAGTCAGTCGCGCAGTAGTGTCTGACGGTTAAGTCTAGAAAGTAAAAGGGTTTCCTTGCATAATTTGAATACTAGGACACTGCTAACGTTTAAATTTCACAGATAGGACAGACGTGACATATTTATAATTGCTGCAAAGTTCTACAGAATTTGATGTTGGCTGCAAAAGGGATACACTGCCTTTACATAATTATTTATTGTTATTGGATAGAGAAGAATACCCTTATAATGGCTCCAAGAAAAACAGATTACCTGGGGATAATATCCTGTCGATCTCATAGAGTGCAGTATGGTTGATTGTATTGGGCCCAAATACAGATATAGACATGACGACATCAAAGGAACCTGTATCATACAATACATAATTGATAACAATACATAATTGATAACAATACATAATTGATAATAATAAGTAAAACAAAACATTTAAGAGCGAAACAAAGTTCTTAAAGTTGTAGAGTTATCTAACTTCTAATTATTAATTGAAGTATTTTAGTACGTAAATCAACTGCTAAATTTGAAGCATCATGCTTGCTCACTTTTATTCTTTCAACCTCTCTCTCTCTATCTCTCTCTCTCTCTCTCATTAAACACAAATTCTTTTGCAAATCAAGACGTAACGTTAACAGTCACATGACTTGTGTGTCGATAAAACAAGTAAAATGTTCGGCCATCTTTTGGTTTGGTTTGCTTGAAAAACAAAAATGAATATTAGAGACTCAATTTTGAACCAGCCATTTTTCAGTTAATGGGAAATTGTAAACCTTTTACACAATTTGAGATGGCTATACATAATGCAATCTTCAAATTGGCAAATTGTTATTGTCCCTTTGATATACTGTCGTTCACCTCTCCATTTTCCCAAAATTTGTCTGCACTGGAATGTATATTCTTGTTACGTACTGTCATTGTAAGGTGCATTGAGGCCGATGCCAAATCTATGCTTTTCAAGCTCCAGATAAACCTCTTTCTTACGACTTTCCTCCAGGAAAGAGTCAGCTGCGTCAACGCCAAATGTGTTCATGTATCCTAAAGATCTAAGCTGCATGTTGGAGTGAAGAATATGGAGTGATAGGTATGAAAGTCACCTACGTCAGCACCATATGTCACTTGCGTCAATGTGATAAGTGTTCATGTATCCGTAGAGATAAAGTCACTTGCGTCAACACCATATTTTTTCACAGATCCCAAAATCGAAACTGCATTTCAAAGTTTTAAAAAAATGAAGTGTTAACTATAAAAAGCCATTTGCGTCAGCACCATACATCAATTGCGTCAACATCATATTGGTTCACGTATCCCAGGGATCAAACCTGCATGCCAAGATGACGAACTTAGAATAATAAGTATTACAGTTTCTTGCGTCAGCACCAAACCTCACTTGCGTCAACACCATGAATAAGTCACATGTATCAGCGGAATGACGCCTCGTGTGCAACAGACATTACCTAGACCGAATGTTTGATTAAAGATTAAACCGTTGAGGTCCAAGCATGCGATTACAGTGTAACGAAACTTTATCGAACAAGTGAGAAAGTCTGATTATGTTTTTAGATTTGGTGTATAGCCTATTGTTAGGTTATGGGAATCACCAAAACGAGAAGAAAATGACTCGATCTCGCTGACTGTCAAATGCACTGGACACAGAACTGGGTTTCTGGGACTACACACCATGTGGCATAAACGTTCGGTCCAAACTTGTTAGTTGATCCTCGTCATATATCAGAATATTCGTACATTTAAGGAGCAATACTTCAGGAGGGACTTTTCAGCTACAAAATTCTTCTAAACTGTTGGAAAACAGAACGAGAAAGCTTAACAATCATTTTTTAAATCTTAATTACCAGAACTCAAAACTTTCTTTCAGACTGTCAAAGAAGTTCCTACCTTCTGACCAAAGAGGCCGGTGCCACATCCGAAATCCAGGATCTTTGCATTCTTGTCTGCCACAAACTTTATAACGTTATCGCCCATTGCTTCGTACCCTCCATACCCGAGTGTGATCATGTCCTTTTGATATAGAAAGGAAGAGAAGGGAAAGAAGAAAAAAAATGTAATTGCACTCATTTGTGGTTTGTTTAAAAATAAAAATAATAACTTAATAGATTAAGTTTTTTTTAAAGGAAGCCTCACCCCAAGAAAATAACTACCCCTGGCACAACTATCCTAGGGCTAGTTATCCGGGGTAGTTATCCTTGGATTTTCAACTGGTATCAACTGGAATCAACTGGTACCAGTTGATTCAAGTTGACGGAACTGGAATATGTGCCAGTTTATTCTACTGGTTTCAACTGGATTCAACTGGTACCAGTTGAAGCCAGTTGACACAACTAGTAAACTTCACATCCACCAGTATGTCCCAGTTAAAACCCATTGACTCTACTGGCATGCTGAAAACAACCAGTTGATTCCTGTTGAAACCAATTAACCATACTGGTATTAAATTGTTACACCAGTTGATACCAGTTAAAAACAATAGGCCTTACTGGTACATCTACCAGTTGATTCCAGTTTAAAACCCATAATACCAAAGTGGACCATTTTAGGCCAGTTGTTTCCAGTTGGAACATACTGAAATCCAATGGGTGTAGTGGGTACCAGTTGATTCCATTAACTATAGGCGTATACTGGTATATTATTAGACCACTTGATACCAGTTAAAGTTAATGGGCCTTAATGGTAAATCTACTAGATAACTACCAGTTGCAGCACAGTGGCCAAACTGGACCACTTGATACCAGCTGATTCCAGTTGGAAACCAGTAGATGATTACCAGTTGATTTACCAGTTGAAAACCAGTAGACGATTACCAGTTGAAACCCAATAGCTGGTTACCAGTTGAATTTACCAGTTGAAGTCAATAGATGATTACCAGATGATTTACCAGTTGAAAACTAGTAGATCGATGATTAAACCAGTTGCTTTACCAGTTGAAAACCAATAGATGATTACCGGTACCAGTTGAATTACCAGTTGAAACCAGTAGATGATTGTAAGTTGATTTACCAGTTGAAACCAGTAGAATACCAGTTGAAAACCAGTTCATTGTATCCTGTGCATATTCATGCTTAATTTGCATATATTTTCACAGAAAATATAATTATCATGATCTGTCAAGCAAATGTGACAATACACATCAAGATTTATATTATCTTAGTCAATCATTGACAAATATTATAAATGTCTGAACATATTTTACATCTAATTTAAGACGTACAAATAGATATAAAGATAATATGTAATTAGTAACCAGTAAAAACATGTATAATTTTGTATATATGTATGTACAATCTCTACATTTGTTAATTAACATTATACTCGACTGTAATTCACTTCAAATGATCTTTGTGATTGGGCAATTGCAGGAGTCTATACAAAAAATGGTTTAATTGGTGGCCAGATGTCATGCAACATGGATTATTGATTATCAGTTTATTGATGTTGAAACCAGTTCACTTAACTGGAAACAACTGGTACCAGTTCCCAACTGGTGGTATCCGGTCCTAACTGCTACCAGTTGATTTCAACTGGTACCAGTACCAATTGATTACACTATACAAATTTCCATATTGAAACCAGTTCACTTAACTGGTACCATTTCCCAACTGGTGGTTTCAACAGGTCCTAACTGATACCAGTTGACAACTGGTATTTCAACTGGTACCAGTACCAGTTGATTCCAGTTGATTCCACTTTACCAATTTCCATATTGAAACCAGTTCACTTAACTGGAATCAACTGGTACCCAACTTCTTTTTTTTTTACCTGGAGGGGGGGGGGGGGGGGCTAGTCGTCTTAGAGGGCGGTTGCCCGAGGGGGTAGTTGTCCTAGGGGGTAATTGACTGGGGGCGGTTATCCGGGGATGTATGTCCAGGGGGTATGTGTCCGGATACGCTTTACTTGATATACTCAGTTAACAAAACATGTATCTAATGTAAGAAAAAAATACATTCTTCAAGGTATGTATAACCTCTAATTATATGAAATGAAATATCAAATAATTTAAAACGTAACTAAACTAAGCTAAGAAATATAAAATATGGGTGTGACGCATACCTCGTCATAATAGTGAGCCCAGGCATCATAAGCTTTATCCGTTTCCTCGTCTCGAGAAGCAATAATAGTTCTGATTCTTTCCCGAGCGGGACAAATGGAATCGTCAAACTGATATGCAAGATGGCTGCTGTCGGCCATATCTATAATAGGGACTTTTAGATTTGCACAACGACAACGTGGATTGCTACGATCGACGTCCTTTTAATGCACTGCCTTGAATGGACGTCACACGTATCAGTCCACGCAAATCTAAAAGTCCTTAATGCTGTCTAGTCAACTTCTGATGAAATTCGGGCCCGAGGAAGAGGATGCAGATGATACCGGTCAGAATGATGATACGCCAAAATGCCAACTGGGATTTGATAATCTACAACGGGAGTAGTCAAAGGCTTATCCAAAGTCTTTTCTGTATAGGTCCATGATAAGCTTCTTATACTCCTACTGCACTGTACATGTTAAGAATACAACAACATCACAAATCTTGTTTTCTTTTTTTCTTCAGAGTCGGTCCAGTGCGTTGCATGCATACAAATAAGAGGCCCTTTCCAGGTTCCACTCCATTCAAACACACAATAAAGGATCATAATTACGAACGTAACATCTATTTACAGCAAGTGCGGTTCCAGGAGAGGTTCTTTTTTAATCGCGAGACTATGCATGACTGACCGCTTGCACCCATCTAACGAGGCGCGTACACAGGGGGGGGAGGAGGGAGGTTTTTTTTTTTGGGGGGGGGGGTTAAAGCCCCCCCCCCCCCCTTTGGTATTTTTATGTGTGTAACCCCCCCAAAAAAAACAAAAAACAAAAAACAAAAAAACAAAAAAACAAACAAACAAACAAACAAACAAACAAACAAACAAACAAAAAAAACCTAAAACCCCCTTAACCTTGAATACTTTTTAAATTATTGAAAAGAGAGGAGAGGAGAAGAGAGGAAAGAAAGAAAGAGAAGGATAGAGAGAGAGAGAGGCAGACAGAGAGAGACAGAGAGAGGGAGAGAGAGAGGGGAGAGAGAGAGACAGAGAAAAGAGGTAGAGAGAGAGAGAGTACGTTTTTGTTTTAATTCTAAAACTCATTTGTGAAAGAGGTGAGATACAATTTTTTTTAATCCATAAACAATTGTCAAATTTCCTCATAAGTGAGATTGCCCACCGAGGGATTTCCACCCCCTTGTGATATATGTTTCACGTTTTATTGAGTCAAAACAGAGTAACAATATATACATTTGATTGGAGGGTAACACAATTTTAATCGTAAAATAACAATGAAATATGAATACGGCAGGAATGCAGGCAGCCACAAAAGATATTTTATTTCAAACCTCTAATTAGCAAAAATGAGTTGCCTGTTAGTATTCTCTTTTTTACTATACGGTATTCAAGATCTTTTAGTTGTAGAAATATAAGCTTTAGAACCTTGAAAACTGGGGATTTTGTTTTAAAATTTGCACATATAAATATAATATTTAATCAGAAGAAACAAGTATGTTAGATTTATCATCGTCATGACCCCTATGTGTTTTGTCAAAATAAATAGTTTGAAATGAAGGTGGCACATGGCCCCCATTGACCCTCCAGTAATGGATTTCCCGGGGTATCTTTCTACCCGAATTTCTATTCAACCTGCCAATCGAACTCTGGTAGGTGCGAAGCGCATGCGTAGAAGTCGCGCTACCACTGTGACCTCATGATGCTACGCTCCATAATCCACGCTCTAGCTTTCATTTACTGCGTTCGGATTGGCTTAAAGTTTTTCCTCAATGACGACACAATGGTTGGTATGGGTGCGCGTTGAATGGTCTCTTTTGTCAACAAACCGTTGCGCTTTGTGTTCAGTTTTGATCTAGCTTCCGAGTGCACATGTTGCTTCTTTTGAAGTGCTTTCGAAACTTTCTTCATTTAATCAGCGAATTCAATCACTTTCTTCAAAAGAGACTTCTCCCGAGATTTCTACTTTGTGAACAGGTAATTCAGTCAAAATTCCCTCTCTTCCACATACTAATGGTGACGTAATAAACGGAATAATAATATATAGTTGCCATATAATTCCAATTTTCATAAATGTTATATCATAGGCCTAAGTGTTGTATGTATTTTATCCAAAGGCTAATGTTATACGCGAATTCAATGATAACCCTACTTACTGGTAGGCCTATGCCAAATAAAGAAAAATGTATGTACGGACGATAATCAAAGAAAATATGGATGAAATAAATGTGAAAGAATATTTGAGAACCGTTTTTTTTTAGTTTTTTTTTAAAGCTTCTAACTTAATTTGCTACAATTAAAAAAAAATGACTCCAGAACTGAATATCAATTAATTGGTAGATCAATCGTAAAACCTCTGACAATGGTAGACATCGGTATGTCAGCTCAGAGAAAGCGGAGGGCTCAACAGATTGCAAATCGCCGTCAAAGACTACTGGGACCAGTGTCCGACCACGGGGATGAGATCATTCAAGCCATTGAGATAGTCAAAGCCGTACTGGTCAAAGCTAAGCAAGAAGCCCAAGCTTACCCCGGCGGAGATTTCCCCGAGGAATCGAAAGACCAGCAAACTGGCTGTCCTCCAACCTCAACGGTCATCCCAAAACAGAGGTACAGCAAATATTTCTCTGTTTTTTCTCCCTTCTTAACATGTAAATTCGGAATTTAATTTGTTTATGATACATAAATGAACTACCATCGAGTAGAAAACTAAGTGTTGTAATTAAGCATGACGATGCCCACAATATTTGAAAGCCTTCTTGTATACTGCCGAGTCAGAAGATCTCAATACATTTTACATGAAAGTCATGAATTCGATGGTTATGCACTTAAGGATCTGTGAATGCCTCTAAACATTTATATTCGGTTTAAGAGAGGACCCTTTTTTGTATATGGGTGGTATTTATTTATTGCCTTTGTGGAATAATAATTATTGTGTCTTTTTCAAAACAGTAATACTCTTGAGCCTGAGAAATCGGCCCAGCAGAACAAGAGTGTTGATGAAGAGGTTATCCAAATGCTGCAACCTAAGGTCTCATGTCAGACTCTCATACTCGATGACCTCTTGACCTTTGACATGGGATGGACTGTAAAGGTATGGAAGTCAAACTTCTTTGTTTAATAATATAAATGTTGCTTTCATGATCCATCTAAAGAAAGACAGAGGATGGGAGCGAAACAGAGAGAGAGGGAGAGAGAGAGAGGGAGGGGGGATAATGTTTTTAGCAAGAACGGATATATCCACTGAAACATTGGATGGACTTAGTCAGAATTTTAGTCCCGATTAAAAGATTAAAAGTTATAAATTATCAGCTAAGAGATTTTGGGAAATAATATTTCATCCCTTCTCAGTGATGTTGTAGTACTGATGTCAAACACATGGAATTTACTGCTGTATTATATTATTTTGATTATAAGTAGCTTGCTTTAAATTTCAATATAATTTTTTTTTTCTCTTCACAGAGCTTCAATATGCTTCAAGAAATTGGAAGGGGCAGCTATGGTCGGGTTGTTATAGCACGTCATCGTTCCACAGGCGCTCCTCTTGCCATCAAAGAGCCGTCATGGTCAGACGACTTCGCCTCGCCTGGTGAAATGGTTGAAGAACTCAAGGCAACCAGGGCCAGAGCAACAAAGGAGGCAATGGTTCAACAGTTGTTGTCAGGCAGCCCTTACTTTCCCAAGTTCTGGGGTACCCTTGATCTCGGTAACGAACTCTGCCAGGCCGTCGAGTTCGTGGGGTGTAAGAAAACGGGGACTGGCTACCCTCTCCACGAACCACCATCGCTGTCGATGTGCAACGTTGTCAAGATCGCAGAGGACATCGTCAAGGGAATGATGGAGTTTCATGAACATGGACTTCTTCATAATGACCTCAAGAACGATAACGTGCTCCTGGAAAAACGTGGCAAAAGATACAATGCCGTCATCATCGACTTCGGGATGGCAAGTTCGATCACCGCCCCACCGAAAATGGTCCGAGTTACCAGAGAAATAAAAATGGCGTATGTACATGGAGGAGAGGCAGACTATATAGCACCTGAGGTTGTTCTGGATGAGCAGCCGACATCCATCGCTTCAGATGTGTTTTCAGTCGGCCGTATACTCTCCGATATGGGAGAGATATTTGGAGGTAAAACTGACTTTTATACTTATAAGTTCGTAATTATAGTTATCTTTTTCATAAAACGAGATAGGTTTACGAAAAAAAACTACAGGCATGTAAACATAATATGTGTAAGAAACCTGCTCAGTCTGAATAAATTTCTTCCCAGTTCTTTTCCTAAAAAAGTTCACGACGGCGCTGTATCGTGGGGGCTGCAGGTACATCTAGCTTTAACCTGAAGCTATGTCTATATCTAAATTATGTTAATATGCATTCGAATTTTATTTTCCATGGTGTTTTATAATTGGTCAATCCCACATTCATGCTCATAAATAGTGTATATCAAAGAAAACAATAAATATTTTTTATCTTTTTTTAACGAAATAATTTGTGTAACGCCTCTTTTATTTTCTATTTTCTATTTCTTTCTTTCTGCAGGTCACCGTTCTCCCGCGGTTCGAGAACTGTCCAAGCTAGGAGCTCAGTGCATGGCTGACAATCCAGACCATCGCCCTAGCCTCGATACCATCCACAGTCAAATTACCAAACTCCAACGGCTCAGTAGATGGAGGCGTGTCAAGCGATGGGTTGCTAAGAAACTGCATCTACGTCGAAAGTAATCGGACACAATATTTATTATAGCATTCATTAAAATAAAAAAGGGATTTCTGTGTGCATTTGTTTTTTTTAGAGATACTTATGTTGCATGATGAACGATACAAAAACAGATAAAAGAAAGATAGGGTAAAGGCGGAAAGAGAGTGAAATTCGATATACAGATCGATCGATCGATCGAGAGAGAGAGAGAGAGAGAGAGAGAGAGAGAGGAAAAGAAAGCAGATAGATAGAAAAAAAGGGAGATGACAGAGAGGGAGAGAGAGAGAGATATATAGAAATAGAGAGAGAGAGCGAGAGAGAGAGAGATTTTGAGAAAAGGAGGGGGAGGGGCACGTATATCATCAAATCTCTTTGGGGAAAAACGACATCTTTGAATAAATACATATAAAATCATACCAGTTCAATGAATATGAAGATTATGAAGGTAAAACAATAAACCAAGATCCCTTGTTACGACTACAAAATATCGAACAATTTTAATTGTTGTTGTATTAAAAATTACATTCCTTAGCAAAACTATTGTATACTATAGAATTTTCCGGAGGACGATCCCCCTAAAAAGATTGAGGGGGGACGTCCCCCCCCCCCCGGATGCGTTATTTTTTTCGGCGGCACAGATTTGGGT